TGACGCCATCTTGGTTTTCATCTTAACTTAAGGGTCATTCCTGAATCTCACTTAATTCTTTCCCATATTTCTAAGGTAAATATTTATCTTACGACTAATTCAGTTCTTGTCTCACTTACGAGGTTGTTAGACTAGGGATCCCAGACTGCTCTTTTACGAGGGTAGAGAGAGAGAGAGAGAGAGAGAGAGAGACTGTCAGGATTAACAGACAAATAGTCATAAAGCTGCATAAACGAACCCGCTTCGTTAACTGGTTCGATGAAGGAGAGCGAGGCGTTGTGACGAGCCGAGGTGAGGGTGGGTAGGCGGGGGTCGGTAGGAGGCAGACACGAAGTAGTAGTGGCAGCAGAAGGTAGTACAGTAGGTGTTCCCGGTCCTGTGCGCTTGTCAGGCACGCCTCTACGCCTCTATCCACCTCCACCCTGCCTTACCCTGCTCTGCCCCGTACTACTCCACTACAGGTGTGTTCGTGTACTTGACTCAGGGTTCATTACTGCAGTGTTAACTCATATTAGGTTAAGTTAGGTTATTCATTATTCATATTTTGTTTTTTTTTCTATTGTTTCATTATTCTAGTATTTCCATTTTATTGTTAATTGTAACGTAAATACTTATTGTAATAAATTCAATGTTATGAAGATTACGAGTTGCTTAACCACTATTAACCTGAAACAACCATTATCATAGATAGTCATTCTGTGGCGGATATTTTTGTCTTTAGAATACTTTGAGAATCTATCTTTATGTCGTAGCATGAGTGAGTCAGGTAGACACGTTCTCACATCTCCGTTTACGAGTTTATTTTGACTTGAGGACTTTTGTGACGTAGCTTAAGTGAGACTGTTAGATACGTGCCTAAATGCATCTCTAGTGACGTAAGAAATTTTGAGTTTCCGACGACATATCTGTACATGTTGTGGAGATGTCGCCAGAGATGAGGGAGAGGGGGAGATAGAGAGATAGTGAGTGTTGAGGAGAGAGAGATCATTAAGTCATCCAGACGTATTCTCTCTCTCTCTCTCTCTCTCTCAACGCGTAATTCTAAAATTCAGATGAGTATTCGGATAAGTCATTAAACATTGTAAAATTTGTTTCACGGATTCGAGCAAGAGAGAGAGAGAGAGAGAGAGAGAGAGAGGCAGGCAGGGCGACAACTTTATAACAAGTGGTGTTTAATTTAGCGCGTGATAAAAATTTTCCCCTCCATAAAGGCAGTTAAGACCTTGTTAACGACCCCACGATGTAGTCCACCGTCTCCTGCCCCCCCCCCTCTCCTTCCTTCACGACCCCCCCTACGACCCCCCTCCCTTGTTAACGACCCCACGATGTAAGACCACCTCACGACCCCAACCACACGACCCTTCCCTCCCCACCACGACAACTTCAAACCCCTCCTTTCCCACGACCCTTCCATAGCCCCCTCACAACCCTCCACAACATCCTTCCCATAACCCTTCCTCTTCACCTACAACTACAATTACCATCGTTGTTGTAGTTGTGATAATATTCCTCTTCAAAACAAAACAAAAAAGTAATTGATTTCATGTAGTAACTATTAAAAAATGTAAGAAGATACGTTAATATACACTTGATAAAATTAAAGTTTGAAATTAATGTAGAATTATTAGCATGACATAAATAAAAAATTGTATTATGGAATAGAAAGACAATTTGTGACTTTATATTATTATTTATAAGGATTTTTTATTTATTTAACAGATATATTTACGAGGTGTTTAGGTGTTAGACCAGAATATATTATAGATGGGATCAGTTTTCATCAGTCAAAACCTCCTCTCAGGAACTGCACAAACTCAGTAAGTCACAGAAGTATGATATTAATTTATTGTCTGAAGAACGTAGCAGTAGGTATAAAATGGTTCAGTTAGCCGTCGAAAGTTATTACGTTTTCTATTATAGTCACCAAATTCGAGGCTAACTGAAGTATTTCATATCTCTCGTCTTCAGTGACAAAAGCATATCTCCATCTTAGGTTAGGTGGGTTAGGTAGGTTAGGTAAGTTAGGTAGATTCCTCATATCTTACGACAAATCACATAATGTAAACAAATCAACATGACGTCGCCGGGAGCTAGAGCGTCGACTTATATTCTTATTCAGGACGGAAACTACCGCGTAACATAAAATAAATAATTAAATACGAAAATTGCAGCTATTCCTCTACTTTTGGAGGGGTGGGTGGGGGGGGGGGTGAATTTCTCAAGGGTAAGAAAGATTTTTTCTTGTATATAAATGTTTTCTTAAACTTGCTGAATAAAACGAGTCACTTTTCTAGAGTATTACCAAATTTGGTTTGTCTTATCTCGTGGCAGAACTAATAAGAGACACAAGGGCAGGAGAAAAGAGAGGAATGGAAGTATAAGGGTCCAGATTATAAGTATAAGGACCTGCATGATAATTATAAGGACCTGGATGATAAGTACAAGGGCCTGGATAACAGGATTAAAGAACACACATATTGATAAACAAATATTTATTACACAATTAAATCCTATAAATTCAACATGTTGCTCACTCCGCTCGTACGTAAACAGATGACGTCACACATGTACAAAATGATGTTACATATTTAAACCGATAGTCACATATGGAAAGAGATGACGTCATACATGTAAACAGATGACTCAAAGCACAGATCTGGGTACCACTGAATCTTAATTATATAGATGTAAACTGGTTTATTTTATCCAGTTATGAAACATTACAATAATAAATAAATTAGTTAATAAAGATACACGTGAGATAATTTGAGTTACAACATATAAATAGAGGAGAGAGATGAATGACAGATTAAGGAGAAACGTAGATAGAAGTGGTGTGAGGGTGAATAATGTTTGAGGTGCAGACTGTATGGGAGTTGTTGAAGTATGTTGATGATGTTGATAATTTATTCTCTAAGCAAACGTTAAGCACACAGAGAGAGAGAGAGAGAGAGAGAGAGAGAGAGAGAGAGAGAGAGAGAGAGAGTTTTAGCGTTTTTAATTTTTCTGGTGATTATATAGATAATAAAAAATACATATAATAATAATAATAATAATAATAATAATAATAATAATAATAATAATAACCAACTTCAGCTCGACAAAAGTGTTTCCGGCGATAATTGAGATACAGTTCCTCAACACTACACACTGTCGGTAACTCTAGAGTAGTCACTTAAGATGTGACACTCTGACACCTTGTCTTGATCAGTGACAGCCCAGTTTAAGGTTCCTCTCCAGATTGTCACTTATCATGCCTCTGAAACCACGTCAGCTGTTACCAATGACGCCATAGACAACAGGATCTGTGATAATGAGGTACGGGTGAAAATAATGCTACACTTTGTTGATGTTAATAATAATAATAATAATAATAATAATAATAATAATAATAATAATAATATTAATAATAATAATAAACCGAAAATAAATATTTCTATATTAGGTTTGATTAAGGTAAGTTTGGTTAATTTGTGTTAGTTTTGATAAATAAATAACTTTGAGGATTGTGCTCGTAGTTATTTCTTCACATGTCACGTCTTTACCACTCGACACAACACGACTCTCTCATGTGTCACGACTTACCACCTGTAACATTGCACTTGAGCAAACTCTAATAGTATTCATAAAAACATATTCATTTACGTTGATAATAGTATGTAGGCAAAAATAAACACACACACACACACACAACAATATACAATTTAAAACATATGAACAATATAACTTTAAAGATGATATGTTTATATTTGTTTTGGGTTTTATACAGATAATGTGCCTCGATCACCTCCACCACAGAGTCATTGTGTTAACCCCCGAGTGTGTAAGTAATTCAAATCTGCTGTAAATCTTTCGCTTTCGGTTTAATCTCTCCTCTCACGCCTTGTTCACATCTTACCTGGAGTAATCTTACCTCCTTTCATTCCCTTATCGCAAGTTTTCTAGTTTATCATGTTTATTAGTTCATTAACACTTTTTTCTCTATTTAAGATTATAAAAAACTTTTAAGTCCTTTTAAATCTCACTCAAAGGCATTTATATCGACTTTTAAACTCTATCAGTGTTTAAGAACGTGTTTCAGTCCTCTCAGATCCTCCACCCAACGCTATAGACGACTTGATCCTATACCTTAGATGTATTTTTGTTACTTTAATAAGGATTCAATCGTTTATTTTTTCTTTGTAGCCTCTAGATATTGTTTGTGTGTTCATTTAAACTACGTCTCAATTCTTATAAAATCCTACAGATCATTTTAAATTAATCGTAAACGCCCAGATATAACCTGAGACTCACTAAGACCTTTCGTACTTTATGAGTTTGAATTCATATGTCTACTTTCAATATACGGGTACACGAGGCTTCACTGCACTCCCTATAAACCCCGTTCATTCTTCGTCAATAAATCTTCTTTGTTCATCATTCATTGTTATTTCGTATCGTCTATTATCACCAATATTGAATGACTGTACACGAACCCCGTCAATTGCCCCTGTGAGCCGCTGAGAACGACTGCAATATTTACAATAAGGTGAAGATGATGGGGATATGGCTGTGTTCCTCCCCCCTCCCCTCCCTTCCCCCTCCATTACCCCACCTTGACCCCCACCCCCACCAACCTCCTCCTTTATTAATCCCCTTACCCACCCCTATCCTCCCCCACACCACTCCCATCACCCCCACACCTCCCACCACGCTCTGGTAAGTCACCACACAGACAGGCAACTGACTGTTCTTGTGGTGAAAGTCTTCATTTGAGGTCAATTTCCCTTTCAAAACAGCATCTAACCTTCTCAGAGGTATATTAGACTTGATTATAGTGAATTTTGCTAAAGTTTTTGTGGGTGACGTGACAAGTAAGATACCCAAGAGGAAGAAGAGGAGGACTCTTCAAGAGAGACACACAGTGCCCCGAACAGGTGATTAGACTGCTGGCAGATAAATGTAGGGGAAGTGAGGGGAGAACAGAAGGTAAGGGAGGAGTATATGAACCCATAAAAGACGCCGACAGATGGCTCTCAACACAAGACAGTGCTCAGTTGTGTTTCATGGTCACGGTGCCGCTATATACACACACACACACACACGCACACACACACACACACATACACACACACACACACACACACACACACACACACACACACACACAAATACCCGCACTTTATAGGTAAGAAGAATCACCTGAATATTACCTGTTTTACCCCACACATTATTTCACCTGATAATTAAACTCCCTAACGTTACCTGGAAAGGGTTAGGTTAGGTTAGGTTAGGTTAGGTTAAGATGAGTCAGTTAAGTTAGTTTAAGTTAGTTAAGATTAAATTGAGTTAAGTTTGGTTTGGTAAGATTAGGTTAGGTTGAATTAGGTTAGGTTCAGTTAAGTTAGGTTCGGTTGCGTTGAGTTATATAAGGGTCGTGGAAGAGTGTTTAATCCTCAAGTAAAATAAAGTGGTGGTGGTAATCTTCATGTGATCCTGTTATCACTATTATCAGCTCCACAAACGTAATATAATATAGGAGGAGCACTATTACACAACTATATAAAAGACACTATTTTACACTCACCTAAATAACACCAAAAGTAGAACAGAAAAGATTATATTGTCGCACCTCAAAACACCTAACAACTTACAACAACAAAAAGGTAAATAATGCGATGCTCTTTTGTTTTTTCTTCCTCCATACCAGAAACTTGAGAGCTGTGAACCTATTTACTTTGGTTTGGATTATTTCGTTATTTACATGTTATTTAAGCTTCTTATACTTGAATTTATGTTATTTCTACCTTCACTTATTACTCTACGTCTTTTCATAATATCACAGTTTTAATTAGAGGTTAATAAACACTTCCTTTACAGAATGAGTTACATAGCGCTGAGACGGTTGTTGCACTTCAACTCTTCTGGAGAGCGTTGGGTGACACTACACTTCTTTCAGGTGAGTGTTATAGTGTTCATCAGGAGGAGGAGGAGGAGTCTATGTCACTATATCCCTATGGTGTCCTTCACTACAATATCATGTCTGGGATTTTAGAATTCGTGATATCTTTCCTCGTGACTCTGGGTATCGATTCGTTATGTAAAATATACCCCGAGTCGCTTTTGTTTATCCTCCTGAAAGTTACGAGTAGAGGATTCACTCCCGCAGGAACCCGTCAGTCACTCGCCTCCTCAGGAACTACTCTAACCCAAAGCCTTCGGCGTTAGCGAGGGCAATGTAGAGCTTGTTCCTGAGGATGGTCTTGGAGCTGTAGGGAGGAAGGACGAGCTGGTTGAAGCAGGTGTGGGCTTGAGGCAACATGTGGGTGTGTGCTCGCCAGCAGGAGATTTTGAACATCATCTCGCCCATACCGCCCACAGGGATGCGGTCACTCCCGGTGGTGAAGAGCAGAAACAACTTCTGCTGATCCACCGGCATTTCGTTCACCACCTCCCAGAACCACCTGAAGGAGAGACACACTTTAATTACCCTAAATCATACCTTAACTACTCTAAAAATACCTTAATTAACCTAAATCCTAAAACACACTGATATAATGTTATTTTAAGTAGACCAAATCTTACGCCTGGGTTCTCAAAGGTTTATCATTAAGGTCAATAAAGGGAAGCTAATTTACCTATGACGTCACAAGCTCGTTACCTGTACAGCATCAACCATTACAACTTCATTGGGTTATAACTAAAGACCCAGTGCTTAACAACCCTAGGACTTGAAGCACCTAAGACACAAGAGTATAATTATAAGACTCGAGTCCTACTTGATGGTGGGATGGTCCTCAGGGTAGCCATCGTACTCCGCCACCTTCCTCAGCTCGTTCAGGTCTAATGTTGGAGAACCACACACCAGCAGCTCAACCTCCTCCGGCCGCAGCATCTGTGAAGGAGAGATGAGAGTGTTGGTGATGAGGTGGTGGTGATAGGGAGGGTGTTGTTGGTGGTAATGGTGAGGGTGATGATGGTGTTGATGGTGATGAGGCTAATGTTGGTGATAATAGTGATGATGACTGTAGAGGGATAACTTGAACACATTCTCTCTCTCTCTCTCTCTCTCTCTCTCTCTCTCTCTCTCTCTCTCTCTCTCTCTCTCTCCCTAATCTAAGACTCACTATCAAGGCGTTAGAAGCACAGACGGTGTGGAAGCCGAGATAAAACGCTCTGAACTGCTCATAGATGGCGGTATTGAGAATCCAGTCAAGATACAGCTTCACGAACTCCTCCCGGTTTTCATTAGTTACCGGTAGTGACTCTCCGTTTTCTTTGAGGTTGAAAGTCCTCGGTTGACCAAATTCTTCTAAAGACACCTGGGAATTGAAATTAGACGGAGTTAGGTTGAAATTAGAGACAGGTGGAAATTAGAAACAGTTAGGTGAAAATTACTAGTCTGTCTCCGTTGTTTACGATACCTTGAGTGTAAACAACTGCAACTTTATGTATGAATGTTTGGTTAAAAAAAAACTAATATAAATAAGCTTAGGTTATGGGATTTAGTGGGGATAATTGTTGTTTAGATTGTCTCTATCTACCAAAGGGCTGATTTAACCTTACTATAAAGAACATTATGCTTACGAGGTTCAGTTGTAGTTAATGGTAAATAGAAGCATAATTAAGTTAAGATTAAAGTAATATAAATAGATCTACGATTCATTAAGATATTATATAAGTATTATTATTATAAACTTATAGAATATTCGTGTTTGTTGTTCAGGATTAATATTATTAAGTCACAAATCAAGTTAATTTATGAGCTAAAACGATAACATTGTTAAGAGACCGACGATCAAGTGGCCGAGTTTGTTATTGTTTACAAGTGGTAGTAATAAGTCAAGGTGCAGATCCAGGATTAATATTATTAAGTCACAAGTCAAGTTAATTTATGAGCTAAAACGATAACATTGTTAAGAGACCGACGATCAAGTGGCCGAGTTTGTTATTGTTTACAAGTGGTAATAATAAGTCAAGGTGCAGATCCTTACTTGGAAACTGAGGCACATGTCCTCCTCGACGTCGCCCTCATACTTGAGCAGTTCCCTGAGGCCGTGAGCCACCTCCTGGAGATGAAAATACAAGTGTGAGAGATACAAGTGACATCTTCCACTGAAGGATCTTGACATACAGTAATTGGAATTTCTTTTGTTTTGGTCTTTATATAAGTATGGAGGACCATTTAGAATCACTCACGGGCATTATCTCGCTAAGGTCGTCGAGGCCGGGCGCCTTAGCGATGCCAACGGCGAGGTGCTCGTAGGCGGGAACCACAGGAGGACTCAACAGCTTCCTGCAGAGATACATGAGTTACTCCCTCACACCACCTGCTGTGTCCCTCCCTCACAACACTACAACAATGAGTTCAAACACAGTCCTAAGAGCTGGTGAGTCAAAACTATCACCTGGCTGGGGATCAAACCAGTGACTCATAGGAAGACAACGCCAGTAGGTTACCACTCCACCACCACCAGGATATTATTATAGTCTTACTTAAGCAAACATCAATAAAATGAGAATCCTAGAGAGTCCTTGAAAGCTGTTAGAAGTCCTACAGCTGCCTTGGGAATAGAAAATAGTCCTAGATAGATGCCAGGACTAGAGGAAGCACCTGAAGGAGATGGTAGTGAAGTAAACGTGGAGAAGGACACCAAGAGAGAGAAGGGAACAGAGACGAACTGAATAAACATCTCGTCCAAAAGTTAAGAAAAGCAGAGAACAACAAGCCGAGGACCCACCTATAGCAGATGGCGGGGAAGTGGACGTCAAGAATGATGGAGTTGTAGACAGCAAGGCCCATCAGAACGCCGATCAGGTTGTACTCCCTTAGGTTGCCGTCCTGAGCCAGCGAGAACCAGTAAAGCCTCTTAGACGGGTGGTACACAAACATCTTGTTCTCCGGCTGAGGGGGACCACGACGGTAAAGTTAACACGGTACACCACACCCTATACTACGAGTCACACGGTACACCACACCCTATACTACGAGTCACACGGTACACCACACCCTATACTACGAGTCACACGGTACACCACACCCTATACTACGAGTCACACGGCACACCACACCTATACTACGAGTCACACCACCACACCCTATACTACGAGTCACACGGTACACACCCTATACTACACACACGGTACACCACACCCTATACTACGAGTCACACGGTCACACCACACCCACATACACTACTACAGAGTCACACGAGTCACACACACACACCTATACTACGAGTCACACGGTACACCACACCCTATACTACGAGTCACACGGTACACCACACCCTATACTACGAGTCTCACGGTACACCACATAGTCATTCATGCTTTAAAAACTACACCATAGAGGACGATGAACAACATCTGCTACAGCACACATAGTACAGGTCACACCTCCGTCACACAACACACCACATAGTACAGGTCACACCTCCGTCACACAACACACACAATGGCAACACTATCTCTTTGTCTTTATTCTCACCTCTCTTTAAACTCTGAGTTCGTCTACTTCCTCTACTTCCTTCTTACTTCCCTTAATTTCCTACTTCTTCCCTACCTCTCTTCCTTTCTTCCTACCCTTCCTTTTTCTTTCCTACCCTTCTTTCCTCCCTCATCTTTCTCTTTCCTCCTTTCTCTTTCCCTTTCTCCCTTACCCTTCCCTCCCTCACCTCACCTTACCTTAAAGATCTGTTTAATGATCAACATGAACCACTCCTTGGTGAGGCCCCCCATGTCCAGGCCGGGTTCCCCTTCAAACGTCACCTTCAACTTCTTCTTCAGGTCCCTCTTCTTTGCCGCGATCTAAGGACACACCAGCACTCGTTAGAACCCCTCCAGGAGTATACTCTGATATGCCCTGACATCTTGTGGGACGCTAGATGTTGTTAAACCCCCATCAAGGGTAATCTGTATGACATCAGATCACGACATAATATTCTAGTAAGCTGTGACCTCTGACCTCCACTTAATAATCTCCCCACAAGACCCTATAAACGCCCTTGCTAACACCCCTCCCTACCAACACCCTCTCCTTCCCACCCTCTCACCATCAACCTCCCTTTCCCACCCCCTCACCATCAACCTCCCCTTCCCATCCCCTCCCCTTCCCCTCACCTCCCCTTCCCCTCACCTCTTTCAGCGAGTCCTCAACAAGATGGTTCCTCCTGATGTTGATGTTTAGGAAGAAAATATCAATTTGTGGTGGTTGATGCCTCGCCACCTTGTCCACCAGTGATCTCTTCGCCGTCACGATCATCTGATACTCCGCGTCCTGGAAGGGGTCGAGTGGGTTAGATAACAGATAAGGAAGGAATGGAAACTGTGGTAGAAAAATAAAAGTGTTTGATTAGACACGATAGGGCGTATCTTGTGCGGTTAGGATGTGTGCGCTTAGGGAGGTTGTTTATTATATAGTTCGCCCCCCCCCCCCTGTCTCCATATGTCCTGTATTGACACATATATTTATTAATCAATATATGATCTTTTATCTCTATCTATTTACCTTAACTTATCTTACCTTACCTAATCTATCTACCTATGACACCCACCTTGGTAAGAATGTGTCTCTTGGCGACAATGGACAGGATGAAGGGGTACTGACAGAAGGAGAAGGTATCTGGCTTAGTCGGGTCTTGCCAATTCTTATACTCTGTCATCAGTTCAAGGTGGTCGAGGGCGTGGTTGTAGAACTCGGTGTAGTTGAGGAGTGGAGTCTGAGAGGAAGTGTTGCTGGCGTCTGTGTTCGATGAGACAGTCAGCCACACGTCGTAAGAGTAGAGAGTTTGTGTGCATGAAAGGAGTCGAACGGTTGTGTTGAGTGAATCGATTATTTTTGTTTTACTCGATTCTAGTTCATTATATATCTAAATCAACATTTCATTGTTTATTTATCGCTAAATAAAACTAACGAGCCGATTAGTGGCGAAGAGGACATAAGTATAGACAATACTTTAGGTATAGAAGGTATATAATGCGTTTTCTGTTAAATTAAAACCATAGAAAACATAATAACTTTAGCAATAAATATTATATTTGGTTAACTGCTCCTACAATTGACATTACACTGATGTAACTCGTAAACAATACCCAAAAATTTTAAACAAGACTACAGTAATGACTCACAGAGGATGGCTAGAACCTTGGTAGCTGTAGGGATCCACCACTTGCTCTTGCTGAGGGGCGGGAGGGAGCGATCTGGAGGAGGGAACTGACGGACTGATAAAAACTGGGTGATAAATCCGACCATCATTCTCAGCCGTGACACCTCCAACCTGCCGAGACACGTAGTGAGGATACAGTTAAGGGTACAATAACCGTAGATACAGAGGTGGGTATGTTTCTAATCGGTTAAAGGAAGTAAGACTTTTTAAAACCCGTTCAAAACAAAGTAGGGATGTATATTACTCACGTCCTGAACCAGTTAACAAGGAGCTGATGGTCGCCATTAGGTAGTGAAGTGATGTTCCTGAGGACGTGAGCCAAGACGGTATAGGAGGACTGGGTGAGGAACACTGGTGACTGTAGCACCACGAACAGCGCCCTCACCCGGTCCTTACTGAAGAGGTGAGGACGTTCCTGCAACAGTGCGTTGATCACCGCCTTCAGGAAATGTTTGTGGACCACTGACGGCTGATAAAGGAGGGACGGAGGGTGTGTGAGTTACCATTATTTAGTGTTAATCGCGTGTCTTAACTTAATAAATAGTTGTATATATTTTGACAAGTTAGCAAAGAAAAGCAACATACACAGATCTCTCTCTCTCTCTCTCTCTTTCTCTCTCTCTCTCTCTCTCTCTCTCTCCTACTAACCATCTCGTGTACAGAGTCGTGGACGGTGTACACTAGTTCCATCTTAAGGCCCGGGTCGTCAACACGGGCACCATCATAGTCCGGGTTACGCTGCAAGATGGCCGCCGTCAGTGTACCAAGAGGGTGGCGATGGGGAGACGATAACAATATAGGAAAAACATATATGATGATAAGGAAATGATGTTAAGACGAAAACATTACCAAGAGAAAATGAAATCAGGGAGCATTGTATTAAATCAGGGAGCATTTCATTAAATCAGGGAGCATTGCTTTAAATCAGGGAGGCGCATTACCTAAAATCTGGTATCATTACCTTAAAAGTGGCACAGATGCTGGCGTAAGACTCAAAGGTGTTAAAGTAGAATTTCTTCATATCTGTGAAGTTCTTCGTCTCCTTGGCCTTCCTCACCTCTTGCCTGAAACACCTCAGTATGTCAGTACAGTGTTGTGGGAGAGTGTACAGTGTAGTGTTAGAGTGTATAATGCAATACAGTACGTTATAATGTACCAGAATACAATACAACTTGGTGCGACACACAAACACGCACACACACACACGCACACACACGCACGCACGCACGCACACACACACACACACACACACACACACACAATCATATTTATCCTTATAATCCCTGTACCATCCCTCCCTCCCTCTTCCCTACACTACAAAGAAACACACTCACTCTCCCTTTAACCCCTCCCTCCCTCCTACACGACAAGGCCACCACTACTCACTTAAACTCACCTCACCCACTCTCTCTCCCCCTTCCCTCCATTCAGGACAAGGATATACAACACTCTATCCTTCCTTCCTTCCTTCCTTCCTTCCTTCCTTCCTTCCTTCTCTCTCTCTGTATTTCCATCTCCTTTCCTTTCCTTCCTAACTCCACGAAAGGATATGACTGACTCTCCCCCACCAGGGCACTACTTCTCACATAAAGTCTTCTCGTCGTGTGGTTCGGGCGGGGTACACAGGTCGCTGGTGACTGGTGGAGGAGCTGGTAGTCTCACGCAGGGGGATACGTTCTTCACTCCTGGCTGACCGTAGGCTGCCCGACCCTTTCCTAGACGACGCAACGCTACCCCGACGACTGTTGACCTCCTGTAGATAGATAGATAGACAGATAGATAGACAGATATTCAGTAAAATTCGTCATACATAATTAATCTTATATGAATATTATTAATAAATATGATAGTCTTAATATTTTCTACGACTGAAAACGTGCAGTCGAAGAAAACGGAGAGTCATAGAAAATGTACTGTAGTCATACAAAAAGAAGAATCATAGAAAACGTAGACTTCTGCTTTACCTGTCTTCTTATTGGTGGAAGAGAGCTGCCAGAACCGACCCTATAGGCCGTGGCATCATTAATTGGCGCTAATATCCCGCAATTAATGGTATGTGAGCCATCTGTCACGACTTCCTCACCCACACCTTCCTCATTATTGTTGTTGACCCCGCCACCAGTCAGGGTGTCGTTGGTACAGCCGGGAAAGTTGAGTCCTCCCAGTCGACCAATCATGAAGTTCCCCAAACCACCGAATCTCGACCTATTCTCCACATCCTGAGGGAGGCGGAGGAGGGGGGGGGGGGAGATGGCTACTTAAAGATCAATTCATTAAACCCGAAATATTAAGGTTAATTACATATTTATTTCGGTTCATGTGAAGATTAACTCCATTCACCTTATTTTACCTGATGATGAAACACCCTAACGTTACCTGAAAGACGATAAGTTAGTTTTTTTCGCTATATTAAGCATTGAATTTTTAGATGGTATAGAAACTACTTTTATATAATACTGTATAGGAAAATATAATTCTATACCTCACACCACCTTACCACGACTATAAAACATTTTAATTTACATTCCAGTTTCTTTTGATAATTATGGACGATAATTTGAGGACTACAGCAACTTGGAGAATAATTGGTGGAATAATTGCGATATAATACTGAGTTCTTAGTGAGAAGGAGGAGGGTGGGTGGAGGGGTGGGTGGAGGGTGGGTGGAGGAGAGGTGGAGTGTTGATTGGGGTTAAGGAGGGTAAAGAGGACGGTTGTGGAGGAAGAGAATGGAGGAAGTGGGTGGAGGAAGTGGGTGGAAGAAGGTGGAGGGTGACTGCGTGAGGGCCTCTGTTATGTGACGGTGATATAGTGTGCACGTCGACATCTTTATGACTCGGATGTATCAAAATTACCCAAACTTCTTAAAGGTTAACTCACAAACTTTCTGGAATATTTATTGATCACAATTTAGATGGAGAGGGAGGGGGTGTGGGGAGGGGGTAGGGTGAGGGATCTAAGGGAAGGGGGAAATGGGGAGGGGCTAATGGGGAAGGGGTAATTTTTTTCGAGTTTTACGATATTTTTATTTTTATTTTTATTTTTTTAGTTTGTTGTTATTTATTGTATACGAGTATTATTCTACCTATTAACTAGTGATCGTCGAGTGCCCTAAAAAAATAATTTGGTGAACCGGGAAGGAATAAGTGAGAAGGGAGGAGGAGGAGGGGTAAGGGGGCTTAAAATTCAGCCCCCTTACTTCCTCCCTACCACACTCTTAACTGTATACCCTCCCCTTCCCTCCATGACTCCCTTACACACACACACACACACACACACACACACACACACACACACACAGTCAGCGTAAGGTTAAGCTGTTTATCTCTTGTCATTAAATAATTTTATAGTCTAGTCAGAAGTTAAGTGCTTCCCTCAGGTGCTTGTTGTTGTTGTTGTTGTTGTTTTACGTGTTGTTATTGTTATTTTTGTTATTATTGTTATTGTTTTAAGTGTTGTTATTGTTGTTGTTGTTGTTTTTGTTGTTAATGTAGTTGTTTGTTAATGTCATTACCTTTGTTATTGTTTCTGGTCATCTTCTCGTTGGTCAATGTAATGAGTGAAATCCTTAGGAGTATTTGACCCCGTTATTATAGGTCCATACACCGCCTGCATAGCGTGTATAGCGTGTGTAACGTGCATAGCGTGTATAGCGTGTGTAACGTGCATAGCGTGTATAGCGTGTGTAACGTGTAGAGCGTGTATAGAAGGAGACTGAAACCTGCATAGCGTGTAAAGAAGGGGTTGGGAGTCTGCATAGCGTGTATAGAAGGAGTTGGGAGTCTGCATAGCGTGTATAGAAGGGGTTGGGAGTCTGCATAGCGTGTATAGAAGGGGTTGGGAGTCTGCATAGCGTGTATAGAAGGGTTAGGAGTCTGCATAGCGTGTATAGAAGGGTTGGTCTGCATAAGCGTGTATAGAAGGAGAGTCTGCATAGCGTGTATAGAAGGGTTAGAGTCCTGCATAGCGTGTATAGAAGGGGTTGGGAGTCTGCATAGCGTGTATAGAAGGGGTTAGGACTCTGCATAGCGTGTATAGAAGGGGTTGGGAGTCTGCATAGCGTGTATAGAAGGGGTTGGGAGTCTGCATAGCGTGTATAGAAGAAGTTAGCAGTCTGCATAGCGTGTATAGCGGAACCGGAGACCGTGTGGTGGCGGGCGTGAGCTTCAACTACGTCATCGATCCACCTCCCACCCTCCCTCCCTCCCTCCCTCCCTCCCTCCCTCGCTACAGTTGTGGAAACGAAAGGTGTGAGGGGAAGTGGAGAGGCGTGGGAGGGGGTGTGAGGACTAGAGGAGGCGTGGGAGGGAGAGTGTGAGGGACTAGAGAGGCGTGGGAAGGGCGTGTGAGGGACTAGAGAGGCGTGGGAGGGGCGTGTGAGGGAATAGAGAGGTTGGGAGGGGTCGTGGGATGGAGTGGAGAGGCTAGAAGGGGCGTGGGAGGGAGCGGAGAGGCTATAAGGGGCGTGGAGGGAGCGGAGGGCGTAAGAGAAGGTTGAGAGGGAGTAGGAGAGGCATGAAAGGGAGGGAAGGGACATGAGAGGGAGTGGAAGGCACTGATAATAAAGGGAGAGGTGTGGTATAGAGTGGAGAGGGATTGAGTGGGCTTGGGAAGGAAATGGAGTAGTATGGAAGAAATAAGAGGAACTGGAGGGGATGAGAGAGGAGCAAGAGGAAGGACGAGGCGTGGAAGGAAGAGGTAGAGGAGGGACTCGGTAAATAAAAAAAAATCTTACGTAACTTAACTCCACAAAAAATTACATAAACAAGAAAATATAAAAGGAATTAAAAACAATAGATTAAGTAATTACAAAATATTTAGAACATAAAATACAACATATTTTTATACCCTAGCTTAGGCCTTTGTGTATGTTTGTATACGTATGTGTATTTGAGTTTATGTTCACGTATACATAACCTGGATTTAAGTAGCAAGACCTGGGGACCATCTTGGTGTAGATGTGTGTGTGTGTGTGTGTGTAATCAAAGGTCACGGGATCGATACCAAGCAGAGGCGTTACTTATTGTAGTTGACTGGACGTTACTCTCTCTCTCTCTCTCTCTCTCTCTCTCTCTCTCTGTGAATATATAAGAAATTGTGTTTATGTGTGTTTATGTGTGTACATGCATACATACATAAATACATACATACATACACGCCTGTAATCAATCTTGTATTTACTTAGAATCAGAATAATAAATGACCCGTTGTTAAAAAATAAACTTTAAATAACTATATAATTTCCATTGATTTTCTCAGCTCCTACAAACATTATCTTTATCATTCTTTTGTCTTATACGTCACCAAATATTACTTTACATTCATCTTCACTATAAGTTATATATAATGATGTACAATTGGTATAACTATAGGGTTGATATATACGGCTCAGACACGCGAGGCCACTGACCACGTAACCTATGAGAAGGTATTCTATATTTCTTTTGTTCGTGACCTGGAATTATTATTTTTATGTCACCAAGATTTAGTTTTGTGACCCAGAATTAATTTTAGAGTTAATTCTATGTGACCTGGAATTAATTTTATGCGAACAGGAATCAATTATGTTACCTGGAATCACTTTTGTGACCTGGAATTAATTTTATATCACCAGAAATCATTTATGTAACCTAGTAGTCAATCTAAAGGTGAAATAAGCTATAGGGGAGCTAATTAACCTCCAGGTGGGTTAAAAATACATATATAAGTACAATTCCTTAATGATACTCAGGTAAGGGACGCTACAACAGGTAAATACTCACTATATGGGGCAACTCCAGCCTCAGCTCTCTATTCCTGCGAAGTCTCACGTCTGTGTTGGCGCCCGCGTTGTAGAAGCTCCCACAGTAAGGGCAGATCTGACGCAGCCTACCGTTTGGCGCCTCCACCGTCACTGTATAAGAATGGTTTAGGTTAGGTTAGGTTAGGTTAGGTTAGGTTAGGTTAGGATGGCGTGGAAGTCTTTCTTTGTGTAATTGGGTCATGTGTCTGTCTGTCTGTCTGTCTGTCTGTCTGTCTAGTGTACGAGCGTGACAAATTAGCCATCTACGGACATGGCTGTGTTTGTATGCGTGACTGGAAGTGGCTATCACCAAACACACACACACACACACACACACACACACACACACACACACACACACACACACACACACACACACATTTCTGATTTTACCCCCCCCTCTCTCTCTCTCTCTCTCTCTCTCTCTCTCTCTCTCTCTCTCTCTCTCTCTCTCTCTCTCTCTCTCTCTCTCTCTCTCTCTGGCCAACTTGCTCCTGCTAGCAGACGCTTAAATCGATTGACTCTCTGCCCAATTTCCCAAAGCACCCACCTGGGGGGGTGCCCTTGACAGTCATAATTTTTTGCCTTGTTTGGTCAATGTTATCAGGTCAGAGGTCAAGTGGTGGGATTTAAGTAATTGTTTATATTGTTTTTGTTTTTGTTGTAATTATTATTATTATTAATGTTGTAAGTATTGTTATTGTGTTGTGTTGTGTTGTGTTGTGTTGTGTTGTGGTGTGTTAGGTCAGGATAGGCGGTAGGTGGTGAGTGTGTGGGGAGCGTTACAGCTGGTGTCTCGTCAAGGGTGTATTTGGTCGGTATTGTTTGGTTCTATGTATAAATAATTCATCTCATATGTGAGTTCTGAAGCATATGTATTTTTCTCGTGTTTCTTGACCACTAAATTGTTGTTTTCTTTTTTGTAATTGAAGTTAATTATGTTTGTGTAAGCAGAGACGCATGCGAGTCTGTTTGGTTATTTATTTACAGTCTGTGCCGTTCGTTAAAAAATTAGTCGGATTTCATGGGATTCTGTGAAGTCATTTGTTGGATTCCGTGTCTAACCGCGCTCATGACGTCACGATGTAAACACAGTGGGGGGAAGGGGGGGGGGATGTTTCCACACGATATTTCTTCACAACCATTAGAAGGTCTCAGGTTTTTATCAATTCCCTCAACACAACATAAAAAAAACGCCTCTGACTCAGTTCTGCAGCTCCAAGATGGCTGACAATAAGGCATCGAAACGGAAGATGGAGAGAGAGGTGGAAAGTAGTGGTGGTTAAGGTGGGAAAGTAACGAACACGGAGGCAGGAAAGTAGTGGTGTTAGAGGTAGAAAGTAGTAGAGACAACGGCAGGAAAGTAGTGAGGGTGTCAGCGCCACAGAACACGAGTCATGTGAATAAGTGATAAACATTGATGACGACTGGAGAAGGGAGGGAAGGGGGGAGCCATGTTGGTTCAGTGCGACAATGCCAAATGTATAACCCTGAAGGTGGATGACGACTGATGTATAACCCTGAAGGTGGATGACGACTGATGTATAACCCTGAAGGTGGATGACGACTGAGAGAGAGGGGGGGAGGAAAGGAGAGAAAGTGGTAGATAAATAAGAACAAAGATAGAGAGAGATTAATGGTAAAGATCAAGCAAACTCCAAGTAACGATAAATTATAAATATGAAGAACAAATCGAAGAAGACTGACGGACAGACAGACAGATTGGCACACTGTAAACACTATCACCAGTATGTACACTATTGCCACACTTACCTCAGTTGATGAATGACAATAAACAATGGCACACTACAAACCTCAATTAAGTATAATATAGGTGGTGTGTTAACTGCTAATTAACTCATCCAGGAAAATCACAAAAACATTAATTAACCTCTAACTATTTCCGTGAATACTGTACTGATTTCCAAACTAATTACAGCCAGTAACAACCCTTTAAATGGCATGCAAGGCACTTTAAATACTCCATAGGCGTTTAATTAACTCTATAACTACTACTAACTACCACTGTATCTGCTGTAACTATTGTATTTTCACTAATCACTAACTATCATAGCTACCACAACCAAGTGTGTGTGTGTGTGTGTGTGTGTGTGTGTGTGTGTGTGTGTGTGTATCATCACCACGTCCCTCAAACGACCTACAGATGTGTGTGTGTATATGTGTATGTGTGTGTAAAAGTGTGTGTGTGTATACATGTGTATGTGTGTGTAAAAGTGTGTGTGTGTATCTGTCTGTCGTGTTGCTAAGTGGTGACATAATTACTCACTCTTTACCTTAACACACCTTGACCCAATAGCTACTTAATTAAAGACCTCGATGACCTGACCTTATTGACCTGAACCTCGTTTATATGGCTTTTAATTACCTATAACCCTTTTAACATCCCATGACCCCGTTAATGGGAATTTTTATTATTTGTGATCCCGATATTAAGGAGTTTATTATCCACAAGGCTTATAATACGACCACAAGGTTTAAAATACGACCACAAGGTTTAAAATACGACCACAAGGTTTAAAATACGACCACAAGGTTTAAAATACGACCACAAGGCTTAAAATACGACCACAAGGTTTAAAATACGACCACAAGGTTTAAAATACGACCACAAGGCTTAAAATACGACCACAAGGCTCATTATACGACCACAAGGAAGCATTATGACCACAAGGTTTAAAATACGACCACAAGGTTTAAAATACGACCACAAGGTTTAAAATACGACCACAAGGCTTAAAATACGACCACAAGGTTTAAAATACGACCACAAGGTTTAAAATACGACCACAAGGCTTATAATACGACCACAAGGCTTATTATACGACTAGTGAATTAACTCACCTCCTCCTCCATGGTAAAGTTTGAAATGTTAGCCAAGGTCTATTTTTTTTTTGCGCCTGGCGAACACAAGGTTAAGAGGGTAAATGGTGGACAGAGCGGGCACAAGGTCGCCAGGGGATGGAATGTTCAGATAATAATGAGGTTTGTTGAAAAAAATTGTGTGTGTGTGTGTGTGTGTGTGTACAGGTAAGTGTAAGTGTATTCATATTGACCATGTGCACATGTAGATATATGTGCGTATACCAATCAAGTGCACCTGTACCTTCCCCCTCTCACTAATTAGGTACAGGTGAATTAAGTCCCTTCTTATTTATCATGTATTCTCACCTGTCATTTTTATCTTTTTATTTCCTTTATTCATATTTAGTGATAATGAACCAAATAATAATAATAATAATAATAATAATAATAGCCAAGTAATAATAATAATAATAATAATAATAATAATAATAATAATAATAATAATAATAATATGTAATAATAATAATAATAATAATATTAATAATAATGCAGTATATAATAATATATGTAATATTAATAATAATAATAATAATAATAACATAATAATAATAATATGCATATAAATAATAATAATAATAATAATAATAATAATAATAATAATAATAACGTCAAAAAACAAGCCCAGAACAGACCACAGACAGACAGAGACACATGCATAACACACACACACACACACACACACACACACACACACACACACACACACAGGTGAAAATTAAGTCATGATTAGTGTCATTACCTGAACCATTGTGTGATGACGTTGGGAGTAAGATAGAGTGATGGCGCAAAGTGATTATGGCGCAAGTGATGATGGTAATGGAGGGGTAGAGTGTTAAAGGCTGATAGTGGTGTAGGAGGACCGACAGGTGTAGTGAGGTTGGGGTGAAGTTATGAGGTTGGGATGGGGTGGGGTGCGGTGGGGTGGGGTGGGGTGGGGAACATAAGAACATAAGGAGTCTGCAATAGGCCGGTTGGCCTGTGCATGGCAGCTCCTGTCGAGAGTTACTACCACTCTCTATCATCCATGAATCTATCTAGCCTCCTTTTGAAACTTTCCAGTGTCCCATCACTTACTACAAAGTTGCTAAGCTTGTTCCACTCGTCCACCACTCTATTTGTGGACAGAGTTTCCAACTCTCTCCCTCTAAACCTAAACTTATCAGCAGATCAGTGCTCCAGGTCTATCCTGTTCGGATATTATAAGAACTTTATCTATATCCCTTTATTGATTCCTTTCACCCACTGCAATACTTCTATCCTTATCTCCTCGCACTCTTCGTCTTTCTAGGGAATGCAAGTTAAGTTTCTTTAACCTATCCTGATATGGAAGGTTTCTAAGATAGATCATTTTTGTCATTCTTCGCTGCACCGACTCCAGTGAGGTGGGGTGGGGTTGGGTGAGGTGGGGTTGGGTGGGGTGAGGTAGAAAGAGGTTCAGCCAACAGCTGGATCGATAGATGAAAACAAACTGAATGTAGCAGTGGCCTTCAGATCCCCTCCCCTCTCCCCCTCTCCGCCTCTCTCTCTCTCTCTCTCTCTCTCCCCCTCCTTTCGTCCTTCTTTCCCCCCTCCCCTACCATCCCTTCCCCTCACAATGACTCAGCAAGCAATGAGACACCTAAACTTACTCCCAAACATTACCATCGTTTCATGTTTATTCTTAATGTGTGTATTGAACAGACTGTTCCCTGACCTGGTGATGTCTACAAGGTCTGCGTTTACACACTCTCAGGTAGTCGGTGATGGTGGTGGCCAGGTAATGTAGTGCAGTAGCTGTGTGGTGAGGGAGGGTGCCAACACTAGCTACCCTTCAATATAGATCTCCCGGAAAATGTCACAGGTTGAGTGCCACGCTTATACGTGTCCAGTCAATACAATGGTGGGAGTGCCAGTGTGCCAGTGGTTCTTATAGCCAGGTATAGGAGTGGCACTGATTAGTGTAACTAGTGTAGGAACGGCACTGGTCCTTATATATAGTGTAGTAGTGGCACTGGTCTTAATATCTAGTGTAAGAGTGCCTGGTGAGTGTCAATGGTGCATATATGTGACTAACTCTTCGCCTCGATTCTCATTAGATATTTCCAGGACAGTGTGTGAGTGAGTCTGTCAGTGTCAGCTTACATATAGCTGGCTGACGGTGGGCTAAAAACATCGCTTGGGGCTCTAAGACTTAAAACTCATCACTCGAACATGAGAAATTGACCTTAAAATGTCAGATGACTTTATTTTAAGGGGCTGACCTAAAGTAACGTCCAGTACTGAAGGAAATAAAACAACAATAAACTATGATAATATTATTGGTCTATTACAGTATAGCCCTACTCAATATGATAAGGTACTGCCCTAAAAATACCGCCTGACTATAATATTAAGGGTCTCGTCTTTAAATATCCCCAGAGGCAATGGTTTAATGGTATTTCCTTGTAACGTAAGATTATCGGGTATGACCTTTAAATATCGCCTGAAGCAGATTGTAGTGGTCTGACCTATTAACAAGGAGAGATGTTTAATAATATCACAGCAGTCTTTAGTTTAATTGAAGGTGTGTGTGTGTGTGTGTGTGTGTGTGTTATTAACGGGTGTATGTTTATATTTGTGTTAATTTCTGCATTCATTAAATATGAGCGTATATATATTGTTGTGTATATATCTTGTATGACTGTATTTGTGAGTGTAAGTATGTGTCCGTGTGTTTTTCTTGCATACAGGAAACGCATGTTGGTGTTTTTGTTTATTTTTTTGTAATTGTATAAAACACCTACACATCCTCACAACACCAAACACACCACCAACACAACACCAACACAACACCATGTATGACACAGCGTTCGTGGTAATAAATCCGACTCGGCGACAACAGATCGTTCTTATATCCAGATCCGGATACGTGAGCGCCAGTTTGTTTATATATTTTTTCAATGCACGAGCACCAAGACCCTATGTACAGCTCCTGTGTCGACTTCTGGGTGTTGCAAGTAGTGGAACGAGGAGGAGGGAGAGGGAGGGGGGAAGGAAGAGAGAGGAGTTAGAGAGGGAGGGAAGGGGGAGGGGAGATGGGATAGAGAAGGGGAGGGAGGGAGAGAGAGGGAGGTAAGGGGACGAGCCACCTACCAAGTAGACAATTCTGGGAGTTGGTTTGCAAATTTAATGACGATTTTAATGGTATTGGTCGAGTTGTGGTGGAATAAAACCTCTCCTGTGAACTGTTGACCGTCCTGCTGAAATGTGTTGAGTATTTGGTTAAGATATTCCTTCATTTTTTCTCGTCAACTTTTGCATGAAACTTATGTTGACATCCAAAACGCCTTTACATTGGGTACTTCAGTATCCTTCTGGTGTTATATTTTTTTTAGGTTTTTCTTCAGTTTTCCTTTTGCTGTGTGTGTGTGTGTGTGTATGTGTGTGTGTGTGTATGTGTGTGTGTGTGTGTGTGTGTGTGCCATTGTATATATCTTTCGCAAATAAATATACTGTAAATAAATAAAAAACTCTTGAGTATAAGCATTATAAGCACCATCTAGGAGAGCGCCTCAGAACTACAACACTAGATCGTCACTCTTTTTACTCAGAAAATATAAACTCCTGAACATAAACAAACTCTTGAATATACTATTGTTTCCAGCTAGCACACTTCTTAACAGCACCTTAGAGTATGAAGTTTTGATAATTAATTATGATAATTGATATAAGATAACTTAGTAATTAGAATTTAAACTTTTCGACCACAGATCCTTTACTGAGATTTTGAGCAAACATAATTTTTAGACCCAAAAATATTCGGGGGGACACCTTGTAATTTTGGAGGGTTCAAAACTTACAATTGCTCCAGTTCTCAGTATAGGCCGTCGTTGAAACTTCAAATTCTGATTATTAATCGTCTTAACTAGGATTTATACATTGTAATCGTATATCTTTATCGTTAATTCCTTTTTTATATTTATGTCTTTTATAAATCCCATTATTTTTTAGTGACGTACGAGTGTGTGGGGGAGGTAGAGGGGAGGGTGTTCGTGCTGCTGTCTCGTAAAAGTACATTATTTAGTGGTAATGTGTGAGTGAACAGTGTACAGTGTTCAATGTCTCTCTCTCTCTCTCTCTCTTTCTCTCTCTCTCTCTCTCTCTCTCTCTCTCTCTCTCTCTCTCTCTCTCTCTCATAAACATTTGCCTTGAACTTCATCGTCACAAAGATTTATGACAAAATTGGTGCTTTGTGGCGTAGTTTAAAATCTATGAGAGTTTACACAGCAATTTCCGAGTTTCCATTTCTGTCTGTTGTCGTCTCGTGCGTATTTGAAGTAATTTTTTTAACGTGAGTGAGTGAGTGAGTGAGTGAGTGAGTGAGTGAGTGTGGTGGAGTAGGAGGAGTGGGAGAGTCAGAGGGAGAGTGTGAAAAGGCTAGGGAATAGTGGAAAGGAAGGAAGAGAGTGAGAAAGTGAGAGAATAGTGGAGAATGAATGAGAAAGTGAGGGGAAAAGTGAGCAAGTGAGAGTGCAAGGGGAAGTGAGACAGTGAGAGAGTGAAGGGAAAGCGTGAGACAGTGAGAGAGTGAGAGAATGGTGTAGACTGAATCGCTTGTGTTGATCACCTGAATATTTAATGGACCACAACACCGATATTTCTGAGAATGAACGTGTTCTCTCTCTCTCTCTCTCTCTCTCTCTCTCTCTCTATTAGTTTTTTACTATTTATTGTTGTAAAAAGAAGTTATGTCCGTCTAGATACTGATGAGGACTAAATTGTGTGTGTGTGTGTGTGTGTGTGTGTGTATGGTGTGTATGTGTGTGTGTGTGTGTGTGTGTATTATTATCTTACGAAGACTACATACCTGTATTTTGTCAGGTATTGTTATGGTGAAACAGACAGGTAAGAGGGGGCACCAGAGTTCATGACCTTTGACCTTTATTGATTAAGTTAGTGACCAAATTAGGTGTGATGGTCAACAGCGGGTTTTGTCTCTCACCAGGTAGGTTAGGTTAGGTTAGGTTAGGTTAGGTTAGGTGTTAGTGTTGAGAAAATTGGGTAAGTGTAATATTTTGTGTATTGTGTGTTTTTATTTTGTGTAAGTATGTGAATGTTTCTATGTACGTTTAGTGATTATAATTGTCTGTGTGTAGGTATATATTATGACCCTCTTTCATGCACCCTCCTCATCCCTCCTCCTCCCTCCTTCATTTCCTCCTCTTTCTCATCCCTCCCTCTCCCTCCTTCATTTCCTTCCCTCCCTCCCTCCTCCCTCCTCCCTCCTCCCTCCCTCCACCCTCCTCCTCCTCCTCCCTCCTCCTCCTCCCTCCCTCCCTCCAACACAGAACACGTCAACACAAACCCTATCCCTGGAACCACTTTGGTGATAATGGTGCCTTAGTCTGGGTGTGGTGTAGTGTATGGTGTGTAGTGTATAGTGTGGTGTGTAGTAGTGTGGTGTGGGTGTGGTGCAGTGTAGTGTACAATGTGGTGTGAGGGGCTGGTGAGCGACACGCAAGGAGAGAAGGAATCACAGAGAGAGAGAGAGAGGCCGAGAGGAAGAGAGAGAGAGAGAGAGAGAGGAAGACAGGACGGATAGTGACAAGATAACATAATTGTAACGGTGTAACAAGGGAAACCGATACTTTCCGCGTGATGTTACAGTAGATAAGACTATGAATTGTGAAGGCATTAGTGACGGCGGGTAGACGGTGAGCAGGGGGTGAATAGGCAGGTAAACGAATTAAATAGGAAGAGAGAAACAGGTATGTAAAATGAGGAGATAAACAGGTAGATGAATGGGTAGACAGGTGAATGGGTAGACAGGTTGGACTATTCGAGCAGACGGAAGCAACAGAGAGAGAAAGAGAGACAGACAGAGAGAGAGAAAAGAAAAAGAAAGAAATCGGGTATGACCAAATAGTTTCTGGACACTAAGCAGCTAAAAATAGGACCGGATATCTGTTTTAGGGTCTATAATATCCTAAAGTAGTACGAGATCTACTAGCTCGACTATTGTGACTATTCCCCGTCCCCAGCTAGTAGTCTACTATTGTGACTATTCCCCGTCCCCAGCTAGTAGTCTACTATTGACGCTAAGGTACAGAGACTATCCCAAGTTGATACTGATTTATGTTAATTATAGTGTGATTTAATTTATTATCGCTGTGTGGTAATTAGTACAGGTGTAAGTTAATTATCATAGAGTAAATTAATTACAGGTGTGTTAATTATTACAGGTGTGTTGATAATCACAGGTGTGCGTTTAGTAGTGTATATGTGCTACTAAATTAATACAGATGTTTGTTGATCAGTATAGGTATTTGCTAATTACTACAGGTGAGGTTAATTAACACAGGTGTGGGGGTACTTACCTCTGCAGGATGGACAGGTAATTCCTCCTTGATTCTGCAGCAGTGACTCGGACAGTGACTCCATCAAATCTGTTACTACTGCCAGCCTCTGTGAAGGATACATCTTGTTAGGGCGTGGGTGTAGGGTGTGGGTGTAGGGTGTGGGTGTAGGGTGTGGGTGTAGGGTGTGGGTGTAGGGTGGTGTGTGGGTGTAGGTGTGGTAGTTGTGTGGGAGTACAGGTATCGTGGTGGTATGTGTATGTATTGAGGGGGGGGGTGTTGTCGACTGGGTAACACACACACACACACACACACACACACACACACACACACACACACATTGGAAGATTTAATCAAACAGAACAGGAAGTCACTTAACATGTACACTTAAAGGTTTATATTTGATATTAATTTTGAATTCTGATTAACTGAATTACTTACAATACACATTTTAAAACACATTAATTAAGGTTAGGTGAGGTTAGAGTTATATAGTTTTTATTTATATTTTTTTTATTGAAACGTAGTAATACTTTATAAAATCATCCACAAGTTTATATACCAAAGGCAATAATATCAATTTATTTTACTCTATAATAAACCTGTTCACTTGTCATTAATACACAGGGTGGTGGGGGGGGGGGTATATAGACATTACTCTTGTATATACATCAAGGGGTCAATAACACAACAGAAGCGGTACTACAGTATAGATTAACTTCACCTACGGTACAAATCCTCTACTTGATCACCCTGGTAACAAAACATTGACTGGTGCCTTCTTGAAAAATAAAAACATTTGATTTTTTTTTTTTATACTTTATTCCATCTCCAACACCACTCCATCTCCTGCATTAGATTACTCCATCTCCAACACCAGTTTAATCTATCTCCAACACCTGCCAAAGAGGGAGGCTCGGATATGTAGAGGAATAATTACTGTAAATTATTGAAGAGGTGAGAGACGTCATCACACCTGACTAACTCCACCTCACACCTGACTGCCTCTTGTGCTGGAGGTGGTAGTGAATGTTGTAGTTGTTGTGGTAGTGGTGGTTGTTTTGGTGGTGGTTTTTGTTGTGACGGAGGTTGTGGTTATTGTAGTTATGATTATCGTTGTGGTGGTGATTGTTGTAGTTGTTGTGGTAGTGGTGGTTGTTTTGGTGGTGGTTTTTGTTGTGACGGAGGTTGTGGTTATTGTAGTTATGATTATCGTTGTGGTGGTGATTGTTGTAGTTGTTTTTTTAGGTTGTTGTGGTTATGGAGATTGTAGTTATTATAGTTGTAATTGAGGTAGTTAGTATTGTGATGTAAAGTGATTTTAGATTGTTATTATAATGTTTGGTGTTGGTTGTATAAATTCAAATACGTCTTGGGGTGTTTTTTCATTTTTTTCTGAGTCTTCACTGTTGTTGTCTTAATACACAGGAGGTAAAGCCGGCGGGGAACAGGGAAAAAATAACACGTGTGAACTGGCTAAAAAAAAATCATGTTTTAAATCTCTACACAAAACACGGCAGGTCATGTCAACAAAGGCGGTGATGCAGGGAGGGATGCGAGGCTAAACCATTTACTGCGGCTTACTACACCAACCTAACCTAACACACACACACACACACACACACACACACACACACACACACACACACACACACCCTATAATCGATGTGGGTGTTGGGACAATGATCTTACGTAGCCATGCATAAGCCTATAAGGAAGCTTCTCTCTTTCACGCTACTGTTCCATTTGTATTCCAGCACGCCCTCCTAGCACGCCCTCCTAACACGCTCTTCCATCACGCCCTCCGTTGCACGCCCTCTCAGCACGCCTTCCCTCTACACGGGGCATCAATATCCTGAGGCGCGTTCCCCTTAATCCTTGACTTTTCGTAACTACGTAATATTCGAGTATTTAGTGATGTTGATTGGTCCTCCTATATTAATTTATATCTATCTGTATTTACATGTATCCTGAAATACTGTACAATATCCTGAAGTATTGTACAGCATAAACATATCAATTTTATAAGTAAGTCAATAAACAATATCATAGTTACCCCATTAAAATAAGCATTACGTTTTCTGTAAGATGATTGACTTGTCGTTTTCTTCTATATAATTACAGTAGCTTCACAGATCATTTATTCACTTATATTTTACGAGAGACTTGACGTGTCCTTGTGTTAGTGTCGCCTCAGGACCTAAGCGAGGTAGCTATCAAGGTGTTATGTAATAGGCACAATCTCTCCTAGTATTTCAGGAATGTTCTTTTCCATAAGTAACTCAAGGATTAGGGTCGTGAACATTCAGTGGTGAGGGATTAGGGGCCAATATGAGTCTCAGATTGACTATTTATGGTGTACGTATGATATAAGCAATCAGCAAGGGAACGAATTAAAATTGTCAATCTGTTGTTGCAGTATGGTACATATTATTCAAATTATGGATGAAACTCTTCCTTCCATCAAATTGTAAGAAAGCCGAATAAATCCTGGCCAACGCAGAAGCTTAGTAACGTAAATTTCACCAGCCAGTCAGTGATATATTAAAGTTTCCGCTCTAATAGGATGATCATTTATTTTCTATTATACTGATAACTTGAGGTAATGTTAAGATGACGTGCGATTTGCTTCCCTTATCTTTAGCATTTGAATAGTTACCTCTGGATCCTGTGTGTGTGTGTGTGTGTGAGCTTTAAACCTGACCTTCTCTCTGGCCAAAAAAATCACACCTGGCTTTCTCTCTCTCTCTCTTTCTCTCTCTCTCTCTCTCTCTCTCTCTCTCTGACGTCACCCACCAATTCACACCATATGATATGAAACAGACCAGCATGTGTGTGTCTTTAAACTCATGATATTGTGATTGTGGATTCTATGTACGTGACTGCTCGTGCTTGTATGTGTCCTTTAACTCTCTGTACGTGTCATTAAACCTGTGAGACATGATTTTAAACTTTATGTACGTGATTTTTGATGCTGTGTGCTTGATTTCTGACCCTCGTGTGCATATCTGTAATACATGATAATTAATTTCGATCTTTAGATGTACGTGTCACTTAGCCCCGTGTGTGGTCCATATGTACTACAAGATTTCAGGCACCATGTACGTGACCTCTGACCTCGTGTATAAGACCTTCTGTGTTTGCACGTAACCTTTGACCTTTGGTTAGGTGTTGTGTGGCTCAGCCCAGACACGCTCACAGGTGGACACAGTCAAGACAAGTTATGTGTTTATGTGTCATTCTGGTGTCGTAATGACCGACCAACAACCATTATGGTGAGTCACTAGGGTTCAGCGACACACACACACACACACACACACACACACACACACACACACACACACACACACACACACACACACACACAGAGGTTAATTAACACATATTGACTATTACAAATGACTATAAATCTTTGCATTTTTAAAACTATGAATAGAACTTCGAATAAACTATAACAATGAATCATTAAAGGTGACAGATCTCTACTCCTTAGTTTTAGGATAATGTATAAAAGTGAATAAGTTAAGTGAGAGTGAGAGGAGGGAGGAACTGACCTGTAGCCTACGAGTGTTGGGCGTCAGGAGTTGTTCCCTCAACTGTTCCCACTCGGTCGCCATGGTGCTCGATGACTCATTCTCGACTCCTGTTGGAACTGTTAAGGAATCCCTTCCTCCTCCACTTTTTTCTTCTTCCTCCTCCTGGCTTTCCTCCCTCTCCTCTGCCCCCTGGGATGGCCGTCCTCCACCTTCGCTGCGCCCCTCAGGCCCTCTCCTCCCCCAGGGGCGAACCAAAAAGCGCCTCACCTTGACCACCCCATCGTGACGGTTGTGTTCCTTCACCAGTTTGCTGATGTCTCGTCTTTCACTAGGGACTCCCGCCACAGTCTCTAATTATCACTTTTTACAATATATTTCAGTTGCTTTCATCACCAGTTACATTCCTCAAACTAATTTCAATTAAATAGTTAAATTAAATTATCAAATAAATGTCTTCAATATCCAGTGAGGTAAGTTCAGTCAAATTTATGTATTATAATTTATCTTAGTTTGGGTAATTGTATTTCTGATATTTTTTTCTGTCACTTTCAGGAGTTTATTATTTATCTGCAACGTGATTACTGGTGTTAGTCCCATAAAATTGAGAGAACGTTGGTGATGTATTTACTTATACCAGGAAGGTCACTTGCTCTTATGTGTGCATCATCACAAGTTAATAATTGAAAAACCTTAACATCTGGAGCTGAAACCGACGTTGGTCATGTACACATACGATCATGTTTAATACATCTATACATATACCAGGAAATACATAGTTCTTTAGTTAAAATATACACCTAGAAATGAAAGTCAACTGTATGAATAATGCATAACTATTACACCATATTATACACATTAACTGTCCGAATACTGTATAATCATGTACACCAAACTCATGCGATATTAACAATTATACATAAACTCTTCCTTAATCATTAATATACAAGAATTTAGAGCAAGAAGGACACATATACATTTATTACCTCATGTATATTTTAGGTCAAGTGCATGAAAGTAGAGTATCTACCCTTCCTCCCTCCCTCTCCCTCCCTCTCCCTCCCTCTTCTTTTCCTCCCCACACACCTTCCCTACCACCCTCTTCCCCTTCCTCCCTCCTCTATCTTCCATCCTCCTTCTTTCCTTTCCACCCTCCTTCCCTGATTCCATCTCTATACCTTCTACCTTCCTCCCCTCCCTTTCCCTTCCTCCCTCTCCTTCTCTCATTCCCTCTCAGCTGTCGTAAGGGGCTGTGGCCATGAGGGTTGACATGAGGTGTTGTGGCCAGGAGTTTGTGGCCATGAGGGTGTGGCCATGAGAGGGTGTGGCCATGAGAGGGTACACAGGTAAACAGCAGCCAAGGTTCAGGTATGTTGTGGATACGTGAGTTGCATCGATTGTCCCTCCCTCTCACCCGCCCCTCTCACACTCCCCTCTCTCACTCCCCTCCTCCCACTCCCTCCCCTCACTATCACCCTCCCTTCTCTTCATCCTTCCCCTACCCCTTCTCTCCTTCACCTTCTCCCCTCTCCTAAACTTTCTTCTCCTAGTCCTTTTCGTACCCTACCCACCCCTCCCTCCCTTCCTTCCTTCCTCTTTCTCCTTATTTTCCTATATTTTAAGTTTTCCTATAAAATCACAATTAGTATTAGTCGCTTCATATGTGTTATATAAACTTCATAGGTCAGGGAGTTACGCCTTGACGTCATTATTTGCCCCTAATATCTTTGTTTTTATTCTTAGGCAGATATAGCCAGTGTTGGAAAAGTACCAGTAACAGAAGCGCTAATTATTTTGTTTTTTAAGTAGATGAAATATATTGCAGTCTGTATCCCCCTTGTCATATTTTTCTGGTCTATTTTGGAAAATTTATTGCATTAGCCAACAAAGTTAAAGGACTGAACATATATTTAAATTACCAGACAACACACTTAGCCACAGTAACACACTTGGCCACAGTAACACACTTAGCCACAGTCACACACTTAGCCACAGTCACACACTTGGCTACAGTAACACACTTAGCCACAGTCACACACTTGGCCACAGTAACACACTTAGCCACAGTCACACACTTGGCCACAGTAACACACTTAGCCACAGTCACACACTTGGCCACAGTATGCCAGCACTTGTGCAATAACTTAAACCACAATTTGGCCTGATCACCTTGGTCACAATATATAATACAGTCCTTGACCTGATAACACCACTTAACATGACCACAGTAACACACTTTGACACTTGACACAATGTACCTTGACACTTATTACAGTAACACATATTACAATATTTTGTTATTACAATATACCTTAGCCACAGTAACACCTTACAACATGTGCAGTAATGCCTCAGCCACAGTAGCATTATTCTGATACACAACCAGCCATATTGTATTACAGTAACACAACTTGACCAAATGTATAATACAATGTACACTTGTCCACAATAACACACTTGGCCACAGTAGCACAATTGGCCACATTAACGCACTTGGCCATAGTAACACACTTGGCCACAGTAACACACTAGGCCATAGTAACACACTTGGCCACAGTAACACACGTGGCCACAAAGTAATTATCGTCATATTAAAAAAGTATACCGCAATAACATGTACGTGTGTGTGTGTGTGTGTGTTGTACATATCAACGCAACACACACACACACACACACACACACACAGTCGTACAAAGATTGATTCCGGAAGCGAGTTTGGCTACTAACCGACACAATTAGGAATATAAACGCAATATATCCAATCGAATACTCGTGCGGGACTAACAAAACGCTAAAGTAACATCAAGGAACTATCTTCACTAAACCAGCACCACACAGGCGCCGGTGATCACTTACAAACAAACACGAGACACTTTTAACTGGTACATTTTGTGTGGGAACCGAGGTGTGGTGTGCTCTTGATCCTGGTCCACGCTGGAATGCCGAGGTGTATTGGCTCAAACCCTGGACGGTGAGGTGGGTGGTGGAGGAGGGGAGAGGGTTGGGGAGGGGCAAGGGCCATGGTGGAAGGAGGGAGGGAGGGTAGAGGGTAGGAGGGTAGGAGGTAGGGGAAAGAAGAGAGTTGGGAAGGGGTAAGGGTCGTGATGGTGTGAGGGAGGAAGGAAGGGTTGGGGGTAGGAGGACAAGGGGCAGGGAAGGGAGAGGGTTAGGAAGGGATAAGGGCCGTGACGGAGGGAAGGTGCAGGGTGGGGTGTGGGAAGGAGGAGATGGTCAAGGGAGGCATGGGTGGGTAGTCACAGCAGTACCATGGAGTCGGGAGAGAAATGAGAGAAAGGGGAGAGTATGTCTGAGAGGTAGGAGGGCATGGGAGTGTGAGGGGGTAGGAATGAAACACTTATTTGATAATACGCATGAATGACTGATAATGACGGAAGTATGATAGAAGTATTATCTTCTTCTTCAGTCATTTTGCTTTTGACGCGCACTGAAAGTAAGCACGCACACACACACACACACACACACACACACACACACACACACACACACACACACACACACACACACACACACGCCAACAACAACAACAACAACAGAACACAGTCTGTCGCCATCAGATCGACATGCTAGTAATTTCTAGGTTGAGAAAGTTGAAGCAGCGCGATAATAACATGAGCTAGAAGGCTATTCATCACCATTGATTAGCACACACCTTACCTGCCTGGCCCCTACACCTCCACCAATCAGCAGGCGGCATTGTTCGCGGGTAAGTTGTACATACATATTGATGGTGTTCTACCTTTTGTTATTAAGGGCAGCCGCCTCCTATATACCTGGCCCCCAGCCGTCAGGACAAGGCAGGACTTAGGTATGCATGCTTTGTCTGTCCGTGTGTGAGACCTTGAGTGACTCTCCGTGTATGTGCCAATGAGCGTTTCTTTGTGGGTAAGTGTGCAGCTCAGGTGTCTATGTGCAGTAAAATAATCGCTACGAAATGCTTGATTCGTGAGAAATATATATAATTTTCGTGTTGACGTGAGTTGTGATTCTTATTACTGAAATTTCCTATGATTAATTACAATTTGGTGTGACATTTAAAGCCACATATGAATAATTAAGTGCTCCAATATCTTCAATAAGGTAGTCTATATATAGCTAATATAGATATATTATTATTTTAGTATAAATGTTAAAGGTTGTGGTAAGTTTGTGTTATCAATTATAATGATTATATGTCGTGTTGTCTTCAGTTAATTCTAGTCAAAAAATTTATTGTCTCGATTTAAAGTAGTTAGCCCGGCCGTTTTCTATGATTAATCGACCGAGAGAATTTTCCTTATTGTTTGTGTACTACTAACGCCTATGAATAATGAATATATTGTAATTGGCTGAGTAAATAATGCATTATAATTGAGTGAGTGAAAATGGTACAGTATTGTATCTAGTTTTGTGTGGCTGGGCATTCATCAGTCCGTTCCTGAGACGAAATTAAAAGAAAACGAATCTTTGGTTCATATATTGTAGGGTAAACTGGAGCAAACGGATGTGTATCAGTGTTCTTATTTCAGCTGTGATAATTTGCTTAATAATGATTAATAATAACTTCTAATCCTATAATAAATTGACGAAAGAAACAGCGTGAAACAAATATTATATTGATATTGAATCTCTCTCTCTCTCTCTCTCTCTCTCTCTCTCTCTCTCTCTCTCTCTCTCTCTCTCTCTCTCTCTCTCTCTCTCTCTCTCTCTCTCTCTCTCTCTCTCTCTCTCTCTCTCTCAGAATTAGAATTTTTAACGACATAAATCAAGAAGAGATATTCATAAAAATATTTTCCATCATCTGTTAATATTGTTGTGATAAGTTAAATAACGATACAAAAATTAGAAAATAAATAACAAGGTTCCATGCCATCTAAACAGGGATTTCAAAATATAACTCAACTTTTGTCAATCTGCGTTGTATTCTCTCTCTATTCCACACGAAATTACGTGACACTATGCAATTTAATCAGGAATGTTTGACTAGACGAAAAAAAAGAAGAGATAAAACAACGAATAAATATAGTGTAAAAGAGATTAATTTCTTTGTCATCCGTCACGATATACCTCACGGATCTCAGGGGACAAAATTATAGGTTCCAATAATGGTGAATATTTCCAGGTCTAATCTACTCTGGATAGAATTGAGTGATGTAAATATATGGCTCTACGCACCTAATTTAACGACAAACTCATTTTTCTTATGTATAAAACAATGTCTGCTCAGTCTTTCTTGTGGTCAGCCTGAGATTTTGTTTGTTTTGGTTTGAAGGGCAGAAATACATCATTCTATCATCAGTCCATCACGTAATGCCTCTGGCCAACCATCCTTGTAGTCAAATAAAATTTTTCTTGCTAATTTTCAGCCCAGTTCACGACGCTCCCGTTATGTCGCTTGATTTTTTAGCTAATATTCCACTATTATTTTTAGATTACTTTCCAACACCGCTCATTTTTCGTGGCTCCAGCAGTCTTGTGTGTGTCCATGGCGTCTGATGGGGAGTAGTGATAAAGGCATTACATTCCTCGTTGCCTGAGATGCGTTACATGGATAACACTGCATTCAAGGCCATTATTGAGATGCATAATTTGCTACTATAAAAAAAATGGGGATAAATAAGCTACCATTTGACCAGGAGTAAACACCATTAAACCACATCCATTTGCTGCTTACTGTCTTGTTTATAACATTTAATTCTTTACGTGAAAACTAGTTGGCAGTTTCTCACGCTGTAATCAAGTGCTTATGATGATGTAAGAAACACGCAAGTTACATTCCGGTAGATATTGTTTGGAGAAATGAGCGTTGCGTCACCAGTCTCACTCGCCGCAAGCCAAATAGTCATGATGGTGGATAGACGGAGAAAATAGAATAACGTAAAATTGAATAGAAATAACATGATATAAATAAGTAAATGATAAAGCATGTAACACTCCCATCACTTTCCTAGCTGATTCTACCCATCTCTAGTACCTGTACCCCCGTCCTAGAAACACCTCGTGCTAGCCTCGCACTCGGGGCTGAGGAAGTGAGATACTATCAAAAGAGGTCAACTTGTTACACACCTCTTGTTAATTCACGACCTTGCATGTACGGACGGTAGTTACTGACGTGTTGTGTGCGTGGTTGGAGTGGTTGGTGTACGTGGTTGGAGTGGTTGATGTACGTGGTTGACGTACTGTACGTGGTTAGATGGTTGGTGTGCGTGGTTGGAGTGGTTTGAATTGTACGTGGTTTGGAGTGAGATTGTGTGCGTGGTTGGAGTGGTTGGTGTACGTGGTTGGAGTGGTTGATGTACGTGGTTGACGTACTGTACGTGGTTAGTATTGACTACAGTTATGTTATCACTCCACTACTCAGCAACCATACTCCCCCGCCCCTCCCTCTCTCACGCCTCACCTCTCCATCACCCCCCCTCTCTCACCCTTGTGTCCCTGCTCCTCCCTTTTCTCCCCTTCCCTCACCCTCCTCTCCCCTCTATTTACCCCTTTTTTATCCCTCCACTGTTTCCTCTCTCCCCCTTTTTTCCTCTCTCACCTTTCCTCTCCTTCACTCTCTCCTCCTACCTTCCTCCTCTCACTTCTCCTCCTTTCCGCCTCTTCCTCCCTCTCATTCCTTTGATAGTCTGTACTCCAGTAATGTACACATGTGTTTATTTCTTACGTACACAGTTTTACTTCCTGCGTACATGAACGCTATTAAGATCTGCACGTCACCGTTTCAACTCGTGCGTACATACCTAAGCTTCAACCATGTGCGTACTGGTCTTCCTGTGTACGTGGTTGTCTGTTGTTTTGTTCGTATGGTGTTAGCTGTTACTGTTCTTATTGTGATCGTCTTTTGTTCTTCTTGGCTCTCTCTCTCTCTCATCATCGCAACTACCACCACCACCACCCACAACTGCCACCACCACCAACCACAACTACCACCACTACCAACCACAACTACCACCACTACCAACCACAACTACCACCACCACCCACAACTACCACCACTACCACCTAGCTTCACCACACTACCAACCACAACTACCACCACTACCACCCCAACTACCACACCAACCACAACTACCACCACCACCACCCACAACTGCCACCACCACCAACCACAACTACCACCACTACCAACCACAACTACCACCACTACCAACCACAACTACCAACCACAACTACCACCACCACCACCCACACCTACCACCACTACCACCCACAACTACCACCACCACCACCCACAACTACCACCACTACCAACCACAACTACCACCACTACGCCCAAGCACTAGGAGTGCGTTCACCGTTGATACCGTAATATCGTAATGGATGTGAACGTTCGCTAAGAATCAGCCCCGAGTCACCTCACGCGTAATCCATACATGACGTTATATCACTTCCCTAATCACAGATGTTTTTATATTATTATAGTCTAGAGTAAAACTATGATATATTAAAATTGGTGATATAATGTGTTTTATTGACATTTGTAGCGCCATCACATCTTCGCTGGTGGGACGGTAAACACACTGACACTCCCGCTGCATCGGACACAGTTAGCTGAGATCCACGCGTTGGAGATAAAGCTGAATCATTCTGTAACTTCGCATTGTCGTTCTATTGTTCATCATTTTTAAGTCAGTTTTACTGTTATGAGTTGATGAAGGTGCTGCGTGATGAGCTGTGATGGACGTTCTCATCCCGGAAGACGCGCGTGGTGGGGGGGGGGGTAAAATTTTAGTGTGCTAATATAAAAGTTTCGCAAGTTTATAAATTCTTTACTTGTCTTTCCTCTTCGTCACTGATATATCAGTTGCTTGGGCTGTTGCGCAGTGCTGATCAGCGTTTACCAGTGTGCAAGGCGGAGGCGTTGAACAAATTCTTTTCTTCGGTGTTCACAAGAGAGGATGCAAATAATCTTCCTGCGTTTGAGGACAGACGGTGAGCCACATCTCTGACCCACACTGTGTTCTCAGAAGAGGTTATAAGAAATACATGGTCAAAGCTAAAGGTTCGCAAGAGTCCCGGCCCAGATATGGTGCACCCCAGAGTGTTAAGGGAGTTGTGCCACGAGCTTGCTGAGCCCCTTAAGATCTTGTTCTGTAAAGGTCTAGATGAATAAAAGGTCCCCAGAACTGGAAAATGGCTTATGTGGGTCCTACATTGGAGAAGGGCGATTGTCACTCCACAAATAATTATAGACCAATGAGCCTGATTAGCATAGTGTGTAAAGTACCAGAGCCTTACAAGAGATACCATGATGGAACATATACTACGAAACAACCTGCCAACACGGTTTTATGCCAGGACGCTCCAGCTCCACACACAGCAGAAGACTCAGTGGCCAAGAGCGACACACTCCAAGGAATCTACACTTATGCGGGAGTAAATCGGTAAGTGAAAGACAAGTGACGAGGGTGAAGAAGGGTAAGAGCTTGATGGAAGGAAGTTGTAGCAGTAATAGTTCCTGCTTCTGTAGTTCTTGGTGATAGGTGTAGGTGTGCCCCCTGGCGGCTGGTGGTGAGTGGTGAACCGTCAACGGGTAGCGGTATACCATCTCGTGGCGTCAGCTGCTCGTGCCCCGCTGCCTGACGTAAGATACTCACATCCAAAACAAATAACCCGTTGTATTGTAGTTAATTATCTTTATACAATATATATTCCATTATCATTATTGTTTGGTGAGTATAAGAACCTATAAGGGAAACTGAGATATGAGTTTTCGTTAAATTAAGTACATATGCCTGTGTGATTATTTATATATAACTAGATATTGCATGATTAAGCTTTGCAGGTGTAATTTTTATATATTAAACTATTCTAAGAGGAAAACTAAGTCGAAAACCGCTATCCGACAGCAAGATGAGCTTACCTGTACGACAACTGCTGGGTCAGTGCGGTACCGTATTGTCCGTAGGGATGTTGCCGGTAGTCATAACAGTCGTGTGTGTGTGGTGTTATCAAAAGGCTGGGACTCGCTGCCACCTCCTACATTATCCATCAGTGTACTGTACATCAAGTGATATCTTTATTATTTACCTAGGAAGTAAAACCGCTGACAAATACCATTAAAAGTGCTTGAAAACCAAAGTTCATTATGTTGTGGAAGATTGTCAGTGATGATCCGTGAAGATAATGAGGATTTGAAGTTACTGAAGTCTGAAGGGAAATCACACCTCACCGCCTCTGAGATACCTCGCTGTAGCATGTGGACGTTGAAGCTGAGGAGGTGGAGAAACAGCGATCATGCTTCCACTGTCCTCGGTCTCTTCAGGTATGTATGACTCAGAGTCTCGTAGGTGTGTGTCTTCGTGACCCTGGAATTGTCTTGAAGGCGTCCTCGTTATTGTTTTGTTCTGAGCGACGGCGATAGGTGTCGTAGGTCAAAGGCGCCCTCTCCTACCTGTCCTCGCCATCATTGGTTAATCTTGCAGCTGTTCTCGCGAGTCATGGATCGGATTTTCTATCTTATTAAGTCAATTTTAAATCCACTTGCCTTTTTACACCCATACACTGTATATTTTCCTCCCATTCCCTCTCCAGTTAATCTCCAATTTTTGCATCACCCCATTTTCGTCCATTCAAACCTAACTTATTCCCCCATTAAACACCCACACCCCCATATAAACCCACAGTACCCCTTATTTAATTCTCGAACCTTATATATTCTCATCACCATACAATCCCCACACCCCCACCCATACAATCCCCACACGCCCCACAGAGACCTTTTTAACCCATGCTGCTTCCCCCTACAGGTACCTGCCTTACGTGGCGTGTGTGGTAGTGCTCAAGGTGTACGTGGTGATGCTGCTTGTTAACTCCAGGGATCAGACAACACCCGCCTTTGAGGACTATGACGATGACTACAGTGTCCAACAGGAGCTGAGGTGAGGTGTGAGGATGGTGCTGTAACTTTAACCTATAACCAAACATTACTTAATTGTAATTTAACCTATAACGTAACTTCACTTATCTGTAATTTCACAAAGCCACACCGAGCTAAAATTTAACTTTACCTGACTTAGCTTACCTAACGTAATTTAAGTTTAACCTCAGGTAACTTCAGTTTAACTTCAACGTACCGATACTTAATTATAACTGAATCTAACTTAAATTTTAACTATTTCAACCAAACTTAAGAACTAGCCACCTTCCCTCCTTCTGTGAGCTGTGAGGTTAATAAAAGGAATATTCCCATCACAGAGCGAGGTCAGGTCAGGTCAATTCACAGTGTCTGATAAGGTCACGACAGCCGCAGCATGACTGGCATTAAAATTCTCCCTCACGTTTGTAATGTCAAGGCAATATCAGCCATTATTGATGAATTAAATTAGTGTATCGGTCTGTCTTGGGATCAGGGAGGAGAACAGACATAATAGGTCTGTCTGTCTGTAGTTATCCCAGACACTGTTGCCTACTGTCTGCAACAATGGTTAGGTTAGGTTTGGTTCCATGCATTTTGTCTGTTTGTTTTGTATTTTTATGTATTTTTTCCCACACTTTGTTGTCCATCGCTGTTGTTATTTCCCACTTCATTGAGGGTTGTCTATTCTTTGGTTGAATCCTTACACAAGATTGAGAGAGGGTTATAAGATGGTGGATTGATAAGTAATGTATTCTCCTTGCTTCTTATCTTTTAGTTGTTCACTCCTTTTATTCGTTCTCCTTGTTCCTCTCTCCTTATATTCGTTCTCTTTGTTCCTCTCTCCTTATATTCACTCTCTTTGTTCCTCTCTCCTTATATTCACTCTCTGTGTTCCTCTCTCCTTATATTCGTTCTCCTTGTTCCTCTATCCTTATATTCATTCTCCTTGTTCCTCTCTTCTTACATTTATTCCCCCTGCTGTCTTTCCTCTCTAAACTTACTCTCTTGGTGACAGGACGACGACCCCCACAACAACGACGGAAGAGCCTGGGTGGCGAGAGAAACAAGAAGTGTTGTTACGCCTCAATGATACGGTCATCTCGCCCTCCGCAAATAACCGCACCCCGGATACCATTTGGCTCTTCTTCAACCGCATCCCGCGTACTGGAGGGCAGACGTTGGTGTCCCTGATGAAGTCCCTGTCAGCGGACCTCGATTACCAGCACCAGGAGCACGTCTACAGGACGCCTTGGCAGAGGTGAGGGAGATACAACTGTAGCACTCCACCTCAAAAAGTACTAAACTGTACTGTATGTAAAAAGTAGATCTTAGGTGTAGATTCTCATAGATTTGTTTGGTCGAGGTTTCCTTTGCCTAGAATTGTGTTGTTGGAATATTTTTAATGATGTGTTATCTTAGATATGTTTTTACTTTCTTTCTTTGTTTCTTTTCCTCCTAATTGTTGTCCTCTTAATCTCACCTTTTTCTTTTGCCTCACCAGTCCTCACTATTGTCCTTTTCTCCACAGACTGATGAGTGAAGACGAGCAGAAGAATTTAGCTACCTGGTTTGAGTACAACTTTTGGCCCAAGAGTTATGATCGCTTCTCCCTCTACATCAACTTCACTCAACACAGGAGGTTAGTTAGCCTTGAGACCATCCCTTGAGTTAGTCCTTAATTATAAACAGTACAGAACACACACACACACACACACACACACACACACACCTGGTTTATTGTGGAATTGTAGACGTTTCCATGTTTATAATGTGTTCCTTGTGTGAGTATAGTTAATTCTCGTACCTCCCACCACAGCCAGTATGTGACCCTCCGACCAGCTTACATCACAGTGGTGAGGGACCCGGTGGAGAAGTATATCTCTTACTTCCGGTTCAAGCGTGTGGACCATGAGAGGGTGAAGCTGGAGATGGCGGTCAAGGAGAAGCAGAGACCAGGGAGTGGTGAGTGGCGTGGAGGGAGGAAGTGGAAAGGGAGATATATGGAAGGGAAGGTGGTAAGTGGAAGGGTAAAGGAAGAGGATAAGTGGACGGGTAAAGGAAGGGAAGAGGGTAAGTGGAAGGGTAAAGGAAGGGAAGAGGGTAAGTGGACGGGAAGAGAAAGGTGGAATACCCAAGAAATACTTGACTAAAATTGATATGTATGAAAGGAACTTACCCAAATATCATCTCAGATTTAACTGGGTAATATGCCACAGTCCTTTATATTATGAGTAATTTACTGCCTTAACAATCTCCTAAACATTTATTATCAACTATTATTCTCTCTTATTTTAATAGTTATTGTAACAGATGTATTATTATTATTATTATGTTCAATACTGATTATGAGGGACTGTGTGGTAGGTCGGACGTGGTATTGGAAGAAATTGGAGGAGTGTGTGTCAGGGGACGACCCGGAGTGTGACTTTAGCCCAGGCAGTCGCAGCTTTTCCTCTGCTGTCCCATTCTTCTGCGGCCAATACGAACAGTGCCTGTGAGTTCTCGCCCATATGGATTTTCTTGTTATATAACTTCTTTTTCAGTTCATTGTTCATTTTGTCTCTATAAAGTAATTTTAGGATCCATGTTTACTCCTATAAAGTGACTAGTAATTTTTTTGTTTATTAAGTTTCTGGTAGAGTATGTATGTTTTTTAACCACTCTTCTCAGTTTCTTTATGGTTCAAGCCTCATTATAGGCCTCCCTGGACATGCTGATGAAGGATCTGGGGTCAAAAGTTGGAATTGGGGTAATTACTTGTCATAACGGCTCTTGGAGAAGATGCATAAACACTACAATGCGACTTACACCAAACCTGTATTTATTTCTGTGTAATCTTTGTTTCCTCTTTTATAACATGGAGGTGATCCCACACATGTCCTGTTTGTGTCCTCCCTGGTATAGGAAGCTGGGTGACCCATGGGCGCTGCAGAAGGCGAAGTACCAGGCGGAGTACGATTACTCAGTAGTGGGCCTGGCGGAGGAGTGGAACACGACCTTGGCTGTCCTGGAGGAGTACCTACCCATGTTCTTCCAGGGCGCCCGTCAGCGTTACTGGAGCCAGGGTAAGATGATATTGTCTTTAGGGTAAGTGGTAGGGTTGACACTGTTATAGTGACGTGTGTAGTGCTTTAGGTAAGTTGCAAATGCTGGAGGTAAAGTGGTAATGTTGAGTTAAGCATTAGTGCTGTATTAAAATAGTTTTGCTGTATGTAAGTGGGTAGTGGTATAAAGTGGGAGAACTGCTAAAGTGGTAGTGTTTTATTATTATTGGCAATACTGTAGTTGAAATGGCAGTATTGTAGGACAGATAGTAATATTACAAGGCAAGTGGTAGTGTTGCAAGTCAATTGGTAGTCTTTCGGGGCTAGTGGCAGTGTTGCAATGCAAGCATTAGTGTTGTAGATAAAGTGGCAATGTTGTAGGGCAATTGATTTTGCTGCTAGGCAAGTTGCAATGTTGTATCACTACATTCACAACAAATAACACTAAATATTGTCCATTAACATTATCACTTCATCTATAGCACTGCCACCAGTGCTACAACACCACCGCATCACCCGTAGAGCAGCAGTACTGTACTGTAGGGAGGTGAGCAACTCTTCTCTCCTCTCCATCAGAGTTCGAAGCAGAGCGGCAGGTGAACAAGAACCCAAAGAAGTACTCGGAGGTGCCAGAGAAGATCATCAAACTGCTGAAGGAGAGGATGGGTCCAGAGTATGAGCTCTACGAGTTCCTGCGTCAACGTCTTCACCTGCAGTATAAGCACATTGCCAGCAGGCTGGCTGCCCCAACCACCGCCTTCACCACCACATCTAATGTTCCCCGTTTTGCCATCTGGGACAGAATGGATATTGAATTCAGTAATTAGGAGGTCTGACCGCCTTCACATCAGTACGATTCTACAAATATTTGTTTATTTGTGTTATTATTTCTACTACTAATAAAAGGACGTGTCTGATGGTCTGTCTGTCTGTCTGTTCCAGTCGTAGCTTCAAAATGGAAGTGGTTAGACACCTGAAACTTTACACACATATTACATGGGTCCCAAGGTTGTGTATGCATCTTGGTATTATTAATAACCATGTGTCTGCTCCCCCATATACACCCACCCTTCCCTTTTATACACACTATCCCACCTATATAAAGCAACACTCTCTCACTCCCATCCTCCCCTAGACAAAACTAAAATAATTGCTATACAATATCTTACAACCAATATAAAGAAAGTAAAGTTGTCCCCCCGTCTATTATTTCCGTTTTCTTTAATGGAAACAGGACGCGGATGTAAATAAACAGTTCATGAATGACTTTGAATAAGGTTAAAGGTGTTATTATAGTATTGAAGAGATCAACCGAATATTACTTTAATTATATGGCTAATAATAACAATAGTACAGAACATTTGCGCGGGAACATCAGAGAAGAAAAGTGACTTGGAATTGTTTGATAAGATAAAATACGCGAGATTCGGTTGATAATACTAATGATAATAATACGTGTTATTATTATTATTAAGAGACGTCTGCCACCACGAAGTTGTACATGTTAAATACCACACACTCGGTGTGGTTGCACATGTTAATACCACACACTCGGTGTGGTTGCACATGTTAAATACCACACACTACATGTGGTAGCACATGTTAAATACCACACACTAGGTGTGGTAGCATGTTAAATACCACACACTAGGTGTGGTAGCACATGTTAAATACCACACACTCGGTGTGGTTGCACATGTTAATACCACACACTCGGTGTGGTTGCACATGTTAAATACCACACACTACATGTGGTAGCACATGTTAAATACCACACACTACATGTTAAAGGCAGGTTCAGTTGTGTGTGTGTGTGTCAGGACCAAGCTGCTGCAGATATATTAGTTCGTTGCACAATAATGCCAGTGGTATAATTCCCTGATCAGTCTGCCAGGCACTAAATGACGATACATTATTCTTAATAAAGTCCAGAACCTTGATGTTTGTGCACCAAATTATCCTCGTGAGCAGAAATATAAATGGTACATTGTATACATTCTGCGTTGTTTATGTCTTGTTTCAGTGAATATTGTTCTATTCTCTTAAGTTTTATCCACATGCAGTACTTAGAAAAGGTGAAGGAAAAGAATACATTACAGGACACTATTAAGATAAGTACAGAAGGATTGATTAGTACAGTACATTATATGAACGCCCAGGTAAGCTGAACTAAAATACGAAAAGTGTACCACATCCAGGTAGGAATTTAAATGATTTTATCACTGATGTACAGTTGCCTGCACTTATACCTACGTGGTTCAGTGGCTGAATTCTGGGTTGTAGGTTGAGATTACATTGTTTTTCAAGTTGGGATGTTAATGTATTATTGCTTGGGGCTGTACTGCGCATGTTTCTTTCCCAACAACCTTAATGGGATGAATATACAGTATCTTCCTTTATTTACAGCACAAGCCAAGTAGAATGAGTATTTCTCCCGGCTTTTTTCTCTGGTTTCACTTAACTTTTCCACCCAGCTTGATTGCAGTTGTCAACTATCACAAAGTTTAAAGTTTATCTCCACAATCGTAGTAGGAAGTGTTAGCAAGCTGTATGTGTATGTGTGTGGTGTGTGTGTGTGTGTGTGTGTGTGTGTGTGTGATTCTTATCAGAACATTCAAACATGTAATGTATTTCGGCCTTATCTACCCTGAATTATATATATTTTCAAGACTGAAAGCTGAAACTTAGTCTCCTTTTATTACTGCTTTCTACTTTTTGTGGACATCATGAAGATTAAGTCTACTTGCCCGCTGCTTTTGATGTTTTCTTAACTTATATTTATCTACCACCTAAGTCCCTTATTTATGTTATTTCATGTACTGTACAACATGGTATTGCCTCTTCTTTTATTTAAGGAACATCATTGTTCGTCAATAAATAAATATATAAATGTATAAGCAGACAATCATGTATATTTATCAATGGCTGCTAAGAATGAAAATGTATATGGCTTATGACAGGAGTCTACGCTAAAGACAAGCTCAGTCTCCAGACAACAACACGTTTTCTATGATAAACTTTATGGTTAAATTAAATCGAGAGATGGCGCAGCAGTCAGGGGCTAAACGTTAATTGAATGTAGTACAAGTTTCTCGATATATTCCTTCCTTGTTATAACACACCATTGTGACGTCACCATCAAGCCATTTGCCTGAGTGAGCCGTGAGGGAAGGACGTCTGATGACGAGCTGTTATGTGGTGACCAAATGTTTAGTATTTTTATATTAAGTTATTTAAACACAAGCTTATGTTGCTACTGTCCTCTGTGGTGAGTAAATTGTTGGTATTTTTATTTTCATAATTAAGTGACGTGATGTTAGAGAGTTGGTTAACCACCATGGCCCATGGTAGTTGTCAACCCAACAAGTAGTTATTGAGAGTTTTATTCCGCCATCAAGCGGAAATTTAGGTGAAGATGTTTTATGAAAAGTTAGTTTCAAAGATAAACTCCGTCATTTTATATATTATGCTGCCTTGGTATTGTTGTAGTTTACATTGGTGTTTGTAGTAAGAAATAATTCGTTACCGTCGACGATTTGGTGAATTTAAAAAAAAATAATAGGGTTAATATTCGTTTTTATCCAAATAGGTATTTCAGATTTTGGTTAATATATAGGACTAACCCGCCAGGGCTGCATAGCGCCGATGAGGCCGTATCATCTCACGTCCAGAAAATTCATCAAATTTCACCATATTATAGTAAATTCTTTCTGTTTAATATACCGGGGAAGTTAGGTAAAGGTTGGTAGGTTTGTTTGATTTGGTTGGTTGGTTAGGTCTGTTCTTCTTAACCACAAATATTAAGTAGCGTTTATTTTAAAAATATTTATTTTTAACATTTTCACAAACTACAGCCGTGTCCACTATAATACCCTAACCTAACCTAACCAAAATACACCAGAAAAATATCTTATACCAATTGGGATAAAACGAATTTAACCATTAATAGTGAGCTGAGTGAAGGTTTATACCAGAAATAATTTATGGAATTGAACCAAAATTTCTGGAGATAATATTTATATGATACCGAACACGAAAAATGGAAGTGAGAATGCACATAACCAATTAGAACCTGACCTGACCTAACCTACCTTTCAAACCTGTGCATTGTCGTTTAAATTTACGTTAATACTGCAGCAGGCGGGTAACACCAGAAGGAGTTGTTCGGTTTTGTTTTTCCTTAGAAGATCTTTGAATGATAGTAAGTAATAAAACCATACAAGAACTTTTTATGGTGCTACCTAAACCTAACCTGACCTAATATAACCCAACCAAACCCGACCTAATCCAACCTAACCCAACATGACCTATTCTAACCCTACCTAACCTAGCCTAAACATCTTGTAACCTTCACGCTATAGTAGCACCCTTTTTATTTTAATTATAAGTACATTGTTTATATTTTTTAGTTTTTCTCTACAATAATAAATCACCTGTAGTGTGCAGGGCATGAAGGGTGAGGGAAATTGCAGGGTAAAAGAGTGATAACTGATCATTTAACACTACAATGATGTCTGTACATGCTTTGTACGTGAAGAAATTAATTATTTACTGTAAATAAGCCACAGAAAAATCTGCTTTTGGGTGCCTGTTGTCATCTGCTCCTTGTTTCAGTGCAGCACCCGATCTGCTCTTTACTTTGCTTTTATCCTCTTCGCCACTGATTGGCTCGTTAGCTGCTTGGACGGTCGGTCACGTCTCTGTTATGCACTGTTGGCTAGTACTGGGCATGCACTTGCTCCCGAATATATCGGAACCTGCTCCAGTGATGGTCAAGTCTGGTCTTGAATGATCTCAAACTCGGTGCCGCCACAACGCTCTGGCAGATTGCTCCAAGAGTTCACAATTCTCACTCCCCAAAAAGTTCGCCCTCACAGTTTTCTGGCTTCTTCAGCCTTGAGCTGTGACCCCTTGTGGGGTGGATGTTTGCCAGCTCCAGGTATGTACAGTTGACTGAGTAGGTCGCCCCTTGCCCGTCTGTAGTATAAGAACATAAGAACATAAGAAAATAAGGAGTCTGCAATAGGCCGGTTGGCCTGTGCATGGCAGCTCCTGTCGAGAGTTACTACCACTCTCTATCATCCATGAATCTATCTAGCCTCCTTTTGAAACTTTCCAGAGTTCCCGCACTTACTACAAAGCTGCTAAGCTTGTTCCACTCGTCCACCCCCCTATTTGTGAACCAGTTTCTTCCTATCTCCCACCTAAACTTATCCAACTTGAATCCGTTGCTCCGAGTCCTACCCTGTTCGGATATTATAAGAACTTTATCTATGTCCCCTTTATTGATTCCTTTCACCCACTTAAATACTTCTTTCATATCTCCCCGCACTCTTCATCTTTCTAGGGAATGCAAGTTAAGTTTCTTTAACCTATCCTGATGTGGAAGGTTTCTAAGTCCCGGAATCATTTTTGTCATTCTTCGCTGCACCGACTCGAGTGAATTTATATCCATTCTATAATAGGGGCACCAGAACTGAACCGCATAATCGAGGTGCGGCCTGACTAGCGCAAGGTATAGTTGCAATAAGATCTCTGCACTCTTGTTACTTACACTTCTAGATATAAAACCCAATACTCTGTTTGCCTTATTTCGAACATTAACGCACTGTTTTCTAGGCCGTAGGTCCGGGCTTACAAGTACCCCTAGGTCTCTCACAAGTCGACTTCTCTAGGTTGATGTTGTTAAGGCTGTATACATTATAAGTATTTGTTCTTCCAATATTAAGTACGCTGCACTTGCTGCTGTTGAATTTCATTTGCCATTTTTCAGACCACCCCTGCAGTTTATTTAGATCCTCCTGTAATGCATTTGCATCCTGCCCTGAATTAATTTGCCGCCCTATTTTGGTGTCATCCGCAAACTTGCTTATGTCACTGCTGATCCCAGTATCTAGATCGTTTATAGATTATGAACA